AACGTGATCAATGAGGCGGCCGAGGTGGAGACCTCGACGGAGGAGCGCAAACGCAAATCGCACAAGACGAAGCGAGCGCCGCCAGTGCCAGCACCCAACGTCGGCGGCTTCAAGAGCGGCTCGGGTCGCAGCAACAACATTGTGTGCACCAATGGGCATGTGAATCGCTTGAACCATGCACACGCACACTTGAAGAGACCCACGACGCCGACACCGAATGGCAATGCGAACGGGCGCAAGATGAGCGACCTGGTGGGCGCGAGCGTTGTGGCAGCGGCCGGCGATGGCGATATACTAACCCGTGTGGCCATACCCAGATCGGGCAGTTTCCTCAACACAGGCGGACTGACCAGGTACAAGTCGAGAGGGGCGCGCCGCACCAACTCCGGCAAATTGGGCGGCGGCGGTGGTGGAGGGTGAGTATCAATACTAACCAACGGGGCCAGCGACAGCTAAGGCATCTGATCAGTCATCCAAGCTGACGCTGGCCTGTGGTTTGGCCTAACATTGTTTGCATCCTTGGTGAAAAGGTTTGGTTTGGTTGATTGGCATCGTTTGAATTGTGCTTCTAGTTCCCCACTTGGTTTCAGTGAACTGTTCAATGAATTCCGACTGCACGAGAACTTGCACTCGTTGGACGAGATTCTCTATGCCATTATCGATGCCGATGGCATGTCCTTCAACGATCTGAAGCCCATCTACAAGGAGTTTCTGCTCAAGCTGGCCGTGACGCTCACACAGGACGAGCTCTTTCAGCGCTCCAAGAACATAATGCGACGCCAGAAGAAGAAGAAACAGAAGCGCAAAGCCAGCGTAAACGGCTCACAGGTAAGCTGCTGCGCACGACTCCCATATGATAAACTAACACCTAGTGCCCTGCAGAAGAAATCCAAGAGCATGTTCTTTGGCAGCAAGAGCTTGAAGAAAGTCTTTCAGCTGGGACAATTTCGCGCCTGCCGTGGCAAGCTGGCTAAGCCCGCACGCAACAAGGAGCCACAGTCAGCCAATGTGGACTCCAACAAGCGCAGATTGACGCCGCCCATCATCATTGGTCCGCCCACCAGCCAGAACCACGCCCAGCAGCATCAACGCAATCGTGCCACCACCAGCGGCTCTGATGTGTCCGTCGTGCGCAATGAGAATGCGCTACAGGGACTCAATCGAAACAGCAGCAGTGGGTGAGCACATGTCTAATGATGCCTTTAACCTGAATGCCTTCTAATTAGTCTCTGTCCGGCTTTAGTTACGTCTCCTGCTCGGAGTGCAGCTACGATTCTGAATCGTGCACCTGTGCCTCGGCTGATCGCTGCTATTGCAGTCTGCGCACGGAGCATCTGAACCATAAGCTGCGCCAGAAGAACGAACGCAACATGGCCATGGGCAATGCCCGAAAGTCTACGATTGGCAATGCCACAGCTGCCAATCGCCATTCGCTGATTTCATGCAAGTCGGACGAGAAATGCTACTGCTCCATGGTGGAGGAGGAACCCAACAGCACGCTCGAGCACGACTCGGGCAACACGCACTCGGACACGACCACCTGGTGCGACACGGACAGTTGCGTCAGTGCCAGCAAATGCTACTGCAAGCGCAGCCATCGTCGGCAGCGTGCCAACGCAGCGGCGGCCAATGTCAGCGAGGATTCACTCAATCAGCAGCACAAGGCACGCTCGTCGCCACGGAAGCCCAAGTCGACGGAGAAATTGGGCCTGGACTATGAACTCTTCACCATCGGCGGCAATAGCAAGCCAGTGCAGCCGCACGAGGCGCTCAGCGTGAAGAAAAGCGTGGAGGCGGCGGCTGTGTTTGCAGACATGAAGCTCAGCCAGACGACAGACATCAAGAGTCTCTGCCCACCGATGATGAACAATCAGAAGTTAAATGGCCGTGTCAGCAATGGCAGCTGCCATTCGAGTGCATCCGCACGCCGTTCCCTGTATCGAGCTCGCGAATCCTTCAGCACGGATCGTCTAGGCAATGGCAGTGCCAACATTATGCCAATATCGCCCACGCTGCACATGAACTCCACACAGAAGTCGAGCAGCGCCGACGACTTGCTGATCAATATCAAAGCACTGGAGAAGGCCGCCTCGATACGCAGCAACGTGAGCAGAAGCCGCATGGCCAGCTACCAATCCATGCGGGCAGTGAGCGCCTCGCTCGAGGACTCGCTGGGGTACTTGCCATAGAATTTGAATAGAATACTCAAATCCCTTAGTTAGCTACTAATCACACACGCAATCACTCACACAAATACATCTATATATGCCTACCTGATAAGCATCTTTTTAACTATAATGACAGCTTATGTTTCCCAAGATAATTAATGCCAATCGAGCGACTTATATGTTTACTTATATATATACTTACTTATATATATATATATATATATGAGTTATAGTTAATTATCTTGCGAAACGTAATCACTTATATTATTATTATTATTATTATTATTATTCAAATTGTATACTATTTATAAATATATCTACGAACTCGTGACATTACTCCTTAAGACTTGCAATTTCAACTGAACAACATGGTGCAATACGAATACCATTATAAAACATACATATGCCTACACACATATTACATACATAATCCTAGTGTTCAACGCAGTGCAATATTTATTAAGCTAATTGAAATAAAAACGAACTTAAATGCATATTTTAATAGATTTTATTTACTAACTCGAACTGGCATACAGTAGACACTCCTTAAATCAAACTATGGTATGAATGAAATTAAATTAAAGGTGACTAATATTCTGAAAGTATTTATATTTATATATATATATTTATATATATATATTTATATATTGAAGACTCGAATTTTTTATGGAAATTTAGACGTAGAAGTTAAATGTTGATGATAGATCAATGACTCAAAACAGGTATACCAACTGGAAATCGATTAAATCAAGTAAAACCCTTCACTAGTCGGAAGTCGAAGTCAATTGTAATACATTCGATTCCATTTTGAGCTTGCCATTATCTAATGCCGTAGCTAATAACCCTGACATCTTTATCTGACAGTGCCAGAAAACAATGGAGCCACAATTGATGAAATAGCTTATGGCTATACAGCGCAAGCCCAATAAGCTTAACTAATCTAAGTCAAAATATAGGGCTTAAACGATTTTAAGCGGTTTACTTAAATCCCAAAAAAATATTTATTAACATCCAATATATAATTAAACCTTTTTAAGCTACTTAAAAATATAAAGCTGTCAGCCTAATCGACTTGGGACTGTAATATCGCATGATGGGCTGCCTCTGCTTCTGAGTCTGTTTGTAAGTGGCATGACGTATTATTGCCAAATAATAATAATAATATTTTGTATTATTTCGAGGCACTGTAAGCTCTATCACTAATCACAACAAGGTCAGTGTCAGGTCGCCAAAAAAAAAGGAAAAAAAGCGAAACGTGTACGGTCGGAGCAGATGTTGATGTTGGCGGAACCGTTGCTAGCACGGGTCAATCTCGTAGCGCCTTGATAAGATTACGGATGGGCGTATGCCTGTGTGTGTGTCGGTGTGTGGTTTGCCAGCTGTTAGTGATTGAAAGCACCCGCCGGAGATATCATGGCAAGTGGATTCGCTGCGCAAACTTATTTCAGTTTGATCTGCCGGCCAGTGCTAAACACTTGACATGACTACCTCCGCTGACAGTGTGTTCGTTACCCGATCGGAAGGTATCTCTGCCGAAGGAGTGAGGGATCAGTATGCCGATGGCAAGGCAGCCAAGGTATGGGAGATCTTCATTGGCGATAAGAACTCACGCACGGACAACTACAAGAACTTCCTGGTTGATTTGCTGCGACAGAAGGGCTGCAAACGGATTCTGGATGTCGCCTGCGGCACTGGGTAAGCCGGTAGCACATCAAGCTTAGGTTATATGTGGAAATATACATTAAATATTTGCAGTGTGGATTCCATAATGCTGCTGGAAGAGGGTTTTCAGGTGACGTCCGTTGATGCGTCGGACAAGATGCTGAAATATGCGCTCAAGGAGCGCTGGAATCGCCGCAACGAAGCCGCCTTTGACAAATGGAGTGAGTATCGGTATAGCAGCTATAGCTATATTTAACCAGAAATAACTGACCTAATCTTATGTTGCAGCTATCGAGGAGGCCAACTGGCTGACTCTGTTCGACGATATCCAGGACCATCGGGATGTTGGCTTCGATGCGGTCATTTGTCTGGGCAACTCCTTTGCCCATTTGATGGACAGTTTCGGTGATCAGCGCGAGCACAAGCAGGCGATCAAAAACTTTGAGAAGTGCCTGAAGCCAGGTGGCATTCTGCTGATCGATCATCGCAACTATGACAACATCCTGGAGACTGGCGCCACGCCTGCCAAAAGCATTTACTACAACGTACGTCAACACTTTGCATACGAGTAGCCGAAGCCAATTAAAAACAATTAAACAACACATTTCATTCACATGGTTCACAATGTGCCCAGTCATTCACAGTTTCACTGATAACTTTAAATAGACAAAAACTATTTTGTAAATGCATCATCATTATCATCATCATCCACATTTAATCGCCCTTTCGAATGACTTTGCATATTGAATTAATTTTTGTTGTTTTTGTTTTTGTTTTTGTAGACAAGCCATACGGCGGACATCAAAACATCCGTTCTATTCTATTGCGGCAAACCCGCTCTGGTCGCCATGGACTACCAGATCGAGGGCAATAAGTTGTCCAGCGAATTCCGACTCTCGTACTATCCACACGAGCTGAAGCGTTTCACGGAGATCCTGACCGAAATCTTTGGCAGCCAGGCCAAGCACAAGCTGTATGGCGACTTCAAGGAGATGAATGTGGTGCAGAATCCCGCGTTCTATATCCATCTCATCGAGAAGCCTAAAGTTTAAGTTCGATCATCATTTACGATGCCACTTGCACACACAAATACAATATTAGTTCTATTTAGAGGAAGTTTTAGATACGATCTATTTATTATTACATGCGTCGATTGAATAGATATATACATATATTTATATATATGTATCCATATGTATATGTTGTCTATCTAGGTAAGTATTATATATCTGCTTATTATGGCACCAAAGCAGATCAATACCATCAGCGCCTCAATCACAAAGGGTGAATTTGTTTTTATGTAGTTGGACATCTTCGTACAGATTGTTGCCAATCTGACCAGAAATATAGATGCCATGGCTGTGGGTAGCACCTGAACTCGATGTCGACTCCAAAAAGTTCACTTGCAACTGAAGAACAGACTTAGACTGAAACGCAAATACAAATGTTAATTCTCCTACATAGCAAAATAAATATATTCGAATCATTAGCCATGCAAATTTTGCTTTGCGCGATCGAGGTTCAATATATATACTGTTACACTAGATTGTTTTTATGTACATTATGTAAAGCTAAATACCTGAAACTAAAGAGAAACAACCAAAGAAGACACAACATGGGTAAATGTTAAATAAGACAAATCATAATTAGGCTAACCGAGTCGATGAATCAGTATGAAGAACATACCTGAGCCATAACAGAACTCATATACTAAAGAAGTATTGGTTCAAACAAATATAGTATAAGTTGCTTTAATTGTGAGCAATAGCAAAAATACAAAATTAACTTAGATGATAAGGCTGCTTATAGACCGATAATCTTATTTATTCGCTTCACATCAGTTATCTGACGATCTATCTCAGTCGAGAGCTGAGTTAGAATCTCGGTGATAGTGCGCTGCTGTCTCTCTGGCAGCTGGTAGGCCTTGCTTGTTTCTGTCTCCTGGGAGTTTGCGATATGATAGCGTTGTTTGTTGTACGTCTTCTTGGCCGTGTCCAAGGCAGCGACCATGGTATTGGTGGCCTTGTTGATGCGTGCCACTTCCAAGGCAAACTCTCGCTCGGCCACAGCGCTGTTGGGCAGCACTGCATTGGCTAGCTGCATTAGCTTTTGGCAACGGTGCACAAGCAGCTCTTGATTATCGCTAATTTCTTCGAAGCGTTCGGCCAGCTTGTGTGCTCGTTCGCTTATGACCTCTCGTTCATTCTCCAGAGACTTGATCTCCTGCAATTGCTGCTGCTTCTGCAGTTTAATGCAGTTTATGCGCTTGGCAAACTCCGCGCGCACCAGCTCGTGTCGCTTGAGGTATTGGGTACGCAGCACCTCCATGGCCTGGTTTAGCAGCTCGTAGCGCTCGTGTGCTGAGGTCGTGCCCAACTTGTCAGCCAGAATCGGTTGACTTACGCTACGCAGTAGCATTGTCTTGATTTTTTCCACAAATGAAGGACCCGCACCCTGCTGATCTAGCACATCAGTGGCAGTCATCTTCAAATGTTGTTTGGACGTCATTAACAGTTGGGCATCAATGACCAGCTTAAGGCTGATCACTTGACCGCTGCCCAGCAACAGCACGAGCCCGGATGGCATTTGCATCAGGGCGATACCAATAACAGCATTGATGCGGTCACTAGAATCGAATTTAGTACACAATATATATTCAGCACATGAGGGTGTCGATAATATAAGCTGATTGTCTTCGGCCTCGCTGTCCAAGAAGCGCTGCAACTCGGATATAAAGTTGACAGTAATAATATGCAATCCGGCATCGTGGTAGGCAAAGTAGCGCATTTCGTTGATCAGATCTCGCTTCAAGTGTATGGGGCAACTGTACGCATTGCCAGTATCATTAGGCGCGGACGCAGAGAGGCCCAGTTCAAGCTCAACGGTTTCCGTAACATGTAGTGTCCACTCTGATGGTTCAATGAGCAGACCGTCATCCGCATCGTTAAACGAGTGCTCAGTGGTTTCAGCCTCCAGCAGAAGAGCATGGTGCAGTTTACCTGTTGACTCCGCAATGATCACAGTTGGCGGCAAAGATGGTATGATAAGCAGAGCACACGACTCGACGCCATAGTTAGAGCTTGTCTGCGGTGCTATGGTAATGGGACCCTGCAGACGCGTTATTTCCGAATCAATGCCGGCGAGCAACATATAAACATTCCCATTCTCACGCAATATCACAATTGGCCACTCCACCTTCTCTTTGTTGGTTTTGGTGGAATTTAGTGTAGAGTTTTTGGTTGTTTCGTCGCTGGGTGAAACACATGTTTTAATTGCTGGCGCTATGTCAAAGTCAACGGAAGTTTCACCGAAATCCGAGAGGGATGTATTGGCGCCTTTTTTAGCTGTGTGCGGACCCACCTTCCACACATGACGCAGCTTGGCGTGATTGTAGACGCGAATTGTGTTGTTGGAGAGCAGCACTAGAAGCGTGGAGTCAGAGACTGAATCGGGATGCCAACGCACCTGACGTACCTCCAGTTGTGGATTGTTTTGGAAGAGCAGAGCATCCAGGTTGTATGTACGACACGTGATTTGTGGCTTACCGTCCATTAAATTGCCATCCGGCCCACTGCGACGTGGTACCTCCAATATTGTCACACTTTGTGGACCACTCAGCGCGACAAGCGACCCCTCATTGGAAACCACAACACGATTGACCAGAAGACCGACCGAATTTGAAGGTATTAGCGTTTGATAGCTAGCTTTAGCACGCTTCGGTTCTGGCTGAAGCAATGCGACGCGCCAATTTGTAACCAACAAGCAGGAATCGGTGGAGTTCCATGCGTATAATAAATCATCCTTGCAGTCCAGCAAATTCTGTGTTTGCGGTACTACCGGTAGTGCATTGCGAATCTTGGTAAACAATTCCGTTTTATTGAGCTCCAAGACATCTGTGAGAGGCATTGCGGCACAATTAATAAATATTGACAACTATTATGCTACAGCCGGCAACAAATACCGATACAACGCACAATACGATAGCCGTTCAGCAGCACTCATTGAGCTCGATAGTAGCGTTGCCTAACACTGAAATCTATCGATATTTTGCGGCAATATTTTAAATTACTTTTATTCAGTATGAACTAATAAATTAGTATGTGTATATTGTAAGAATAAAACAGCATATATTTAAACACAATAACAAATAAAAACAAATCAAAAAGATTCTTTTCCAACTTATAATGACTTAAAATAGCCTTTTCCTTATATTTACATCATGTTTAAGACAAATTAATAAGAGCAGCTAACAAGTCCTCCGTTGTACTTGCAGTTGTGGCACTGTCTTAAGTTTTATAGTTATATCTTCAACAAAATAAAGATCTTCAAATTTAAAGCTAGTTGAGAATTTGAAGTTTCTCAACAATTTGGCCAATGTAACTTTTGCCGATATTAAAGCATATCTCCAGCCTATAAATACAAAATATTGTCTTTAGTTATTGAATGTGATATCGAACAAATATATTCTTACCTATGCAGTTTCGAATGCCTTTTGTAAAAGGAATGTAAGCGTAGGGATGCTTACTTTGCAAATTATGGGGTAAAAAGTGTTCCGGATTGAATGTTTCCGCATCGTCTCCCCAAATTTGCTTACTGCGGTGCAAGTAAAAAATATTAATTGCAATTTGAACGCCTTTTGGAACAACAACTCCACTTGATAGCAATACATCCTCCGACGTTTGCCGAGATACTATCGGCACAGGCGGCATTACTCTCATTGATTCATTTATAATAAGATCCAGATAGACCATTTGCTGTGTATCTTTATAAGTTACTTCAAAGTCTCCTGAGTCGGGAAACAAGCTGAGAATCTCTTCAAATGCCTTCTCCTGGTACATGGGAAACATCGCGAGCAGCATTAAAGTGTAGGCAACTGTATTAGCTGTTGTTTCAAAGGCACCAAAAACAATAACACTCGATTCATCTTCCACATTTTTCCAGGTGAAAATTCCGCGTTTCAACAGATCCGTAGCTAGATTTAAAAATATGTTTTTGTCAGAAGGCAACTGATTACCAGTATCCGCGACCTCTGCATCCCTAGCCAGTTTTCTTTCAATTAGCTGCAAAACAAACGAAAATAAATTATCTATAGCTTATTGTAACACGTCTCTTGGTGTTACCTTTCGTATAAAGCCTTTTATTCTTGCCTTGGAACTCGCGTAACGCTTTTCCTTGCCAAATAGTTGGCGTATTGTTCGAGAACTAAGCCATGGTGAAAAGCACATATCTGTCATGGTTTCCAAAATACTATTAATGGATAGAAAAACACATCTATTCTGATGACCTTACCATTGGCCATAACTTACCATTGGTAATCCTCCAGAAGCTGATTGTTATTAATATCCGAAACAACTTTCACATCGCTGCCCATCGTGGTTTCTGTGCTTGAAGAAGAAGCAAGTTAGCTTAAGAATTCTCGAAAGAAATGTGCAACTCACGCGTTGCTATGCCTATGGTAAAGGCTTGTAGTAGAGGTATCAAATCTTTTTCGCCATTATCAACCAATGTATCCATCTTCTTAAGTAGAGCTCCAGTCTCGTTATTGAAAATGGGCAGAAAACTGAGCAGGACTTTGTGTCCAAAGGTGGGATTCAACAGCTTGCGATGCATACTCCAACGCGGATCTGTGGAGTAGTCTAGATATATTCTCTTTTACATCCAAACAACGCTTTGCTAACCTGTCAAACTAAAAAGACCTAAGCCAGCTCCATCATCGACTGCCTTGTAAATAATGCCCTTGTTGACACACTGCGGTGATGTAAATATATCCTGTATGGTTTGTGGATCGGACACAATCAAAAATGGAATTGGACCCAGCCATGAAAATATTGTCGGACCGTGCTTATCCAAATAGAATCCAATTGCATTCAGCACATCTGGGAAATTCACATATTTCATTGAAAAAATTTAACACATATATCAAACACGCACTTTCTCTGCGAATCAGCCTATGAGCCATGCCAATTATTGGATAGCCGAGTGGGCCTGGAATCTTAAGTGTGAGCAGATAGAATCTGCGACGCGTCCACAAGAAATAGAACCACAACACAAGCAGCAATGCACCCCATAGCTCCCACGTCAACATATTCAGGTATTCCGATCCACTTAGAGAGCCTTGATTAGTCACCGATCAACCAATCAACCGATCAATTGAACGTCTATATAAATAATCAAAAATTTTGCTGTGCTCAGCTTGTTTTTATATGCCGGATGCTCAAACTTTTTAAGGCCGAACGATCTATGCGTATATTGTCGGACGTATAGCCAAATCGTGACTTGACCGACTCCCAGTCAAAAATATATCGCTAGGAAACGTCGCCATCATATAGATATTGATGAGGTGCGGGTACGCATCAATGAACCCAACAAAGAAATTCAGTAATTTTTTTTATTGGAATTTATGTGATGAGTGTCTGCATACAAATCGCTTTAATTAGCACTAATAGGTAACAGTCAACGAGCTCTACGGGCCACTATTCGACGTCACCGATTGTCGAATTCCAATCAGGTACGCGTGCTAAACAAAATTTGAATTGTATAACCCCGTTTGCAGATTTGATAGATATCTGGCTTTCATGTGGTGGCTGTCAGTCGCGTAATATAGTTCGCTGATTGCTGCTATTTATATTGATTGTTAAATATTTATAATTAATGAAAACCAAACTAAATTTGTTTACAATAACTTTTTGTTTATTTTGCAAGTTTTCAAATTTGTCTTAGCCTAATTAGTATACATTTATGAAAAAATAAGTATTACAAGTACAGAAGTCACTCCAACAGAAGGACTCGTCATAATATTTGTACATCGTCCCATTATGTACAGTGGTAAAATAATGTAATGAACAGCTCTCCCCTCCCTTCGCTCTTTCCCTTTATGCGCTAGATATGCTGGTTAGCGATATGATCATAGATTTAAAATGGCAGAAAATTTTCAATGGTAAATATTTTTGTGGAATTTTGAGTTTTGTGTTTCGAGTAGACGACAGCGACTTTGTCTAGGATCCCGGCCTGTCGGTGCGTGTCTCTGAAAGATTTACATGATTATCAAGGTTAGTTAATGTAATCCAAAAGCTGAACATGTGCAAGCTCTCCATGCAGTAGAAGACGTTATCCACGCAAGTATATAAAACAAGCTAATTATCTTAAATGCACTGCAATCAATCACATTTCATATGCATGCCAAAATATTACAAAGTTAGTTGCATTTATTTATTTACACAAGATAGTTCGGTGCAGCTTACGATCTAGAAAGCGCTTAAATCTATGATTGAATACAAAATAGTAAGATGAATGTGTACGAATGCGTGCGATAAGGATGAATGGATTACTCTGGAAATAAAAATGTTCCTCTTGAATTAGACCAGTTGAAATTCAGTCCAGTTGCATAAATATAAAACAAAAGAAAAGTACCAATATCACAACTACAAAAGAAGCTGCACAACGTTCTACACAGATAATTAGATCATAAAAATCTAGTTAAATATATATCTTAATATCAAGCACAAGCTCAGTAAATAGAATATTTATAATGACGCTTGCTGAAATCATGAGATCTTTGAGATCTTGAGTTGCGATTAAGCAAAGCAGTGTGAGATGAGATGGGCTTCGAAAAATAAGTGTTAGTCGTGCTACTGGGATGAAAGCATATGTCTGCAGAACAGCAGGTAGTAATACTAGAAAGGCGTTGACCGAAGTCGTCGCTGGGTGGGCTTAGAGATTCAGTGTACAAACCAGTTGTGGGATCTGGCACATCCACATGACCATTGGCATGTCCATTGAGACCATTTGGATTTTCGGTCGAGCCAATTGACTTAGCAGCTAAACATCACATACAAGATTAGGAAAGGTTTATATAGTAATTTCTAAATATAGTACGCACCACTTGCAGAGCCGTTGGTCAATGCATAACCATTGGAGACACCATTTTCGGAGGAGCTCATGAGCGGAGCATTAGACTTCACAGCTAAAAGAAAAGCAGAAATAAATGAATTGTTTTTAAAATACGGTTTATAAAATATATAACTAAATACAAACCCTTCAAGCGATAGTCGCCATTGGAAGAAGTCTCAATGTCACCATTTTGGGGAGCTGCAACTCCATTTGCAGTTTTGGGCGCGCCCTCATCCTTAACGCAACGCATGAGGAACAACATCGAGGAGCCAAGCAGCGGCGGCAATCCGGCTAATATCAATGGCAGAGTATACGAACCAGTGCGCTCGAATATCATGCCGGCCACGGGTGGGCCAATGGTCAATGGCAGCGAGCACAGGCCGAGCAGGAAGCCAATGGCTTGTGTGGCGCCCGAAGGTCCACAGATCTCATAGGCAATCGGACCCAGCAAGGAGATGAAGCAGCCATCGAACAAGCCCATAACCAATGCAAAGGTGACGAGCAACACATAGGAACTGGTCAGTGGCAGCAGCAGGGTTACCAAGCCGATGCAGACCAGCGACAGCTGCTGCAGATACATCCGATTCACGCCTGGCATATCCGCAATGACGCCAAAGATGAGACGCCCAATGCCAGAGGTGATGCCAATGCACATGACGGGTAAATTGACGTCCCGGCCGGGAAACGAGGTCTCCACAAACTTCATCATATGTACATAGGGCACAAAGTACCCAAAGAGAGCCAATGGCACACACAGCGCCCAGATGACATAACGCTTGCGTTTCCAAATCTCCACATTGATAACCGAACGCATGAACACAGCCAGGCGTGAGCGTCCGATCTTCTTCTTGGGCACATGCAACGGCAAATGCAATGGCTTGTACACAAAGGAGCAGACTATAATAAATGCAGCCATGAGACTCATTATCTGAAAGACGAAATCAACTTGAGTAAGAAGCAAATCAATTGAGAACAGCGCGCAGCTACTCACCCTCAACGTTGTCTCCAGTCCATAGCTGCCCAGCAGCCAGTCCAGACCCGGTGGCAGTATGACAGTAAACACGCTTGAGCCCGCCGTCACAAAGCCGCTCACCTTGCCCAGGTAACGCTTGAAATAGTGCCCCAATATAGCCAACGTGGGCGTATAGGCCAATGCACCGCCTAGCCCGAACATGATGCCATACGTAAAGTACAAGGCATTAATATTATTTGCGCTAAAAGACGATAGCAGCAGTCCACCAGATGCAAGCATGCCACCAATAAAGGTGGTCAGACGCAGGCCGATCTTGTCCGTCAGGCAGCCAGCAACGGGCGATAGGAAGAATGTGGTGCCAATAGCCAACGAACCAACCAAAGCTACAAAAAAAGATGTGAATCAAGAGGTGATCATGTACTTGAAGATATTTTAAATAAATATAAAACAATTTCTATTTATTTTATCCTTAATGAATGCTTAGAAAGCTCAAAGCATATATCAGAACAGTTTTATAGTAGGACGAGTTTTAGTAAACTAACTCCCAGATTTGGGTCTTGCTTTCGATATAATTTTTCTTTTATTTTAATTATTTTTTCTTGATTTATGATTTATGCAATTGGAGTAACTGTAGACAGAGAATCGATGTATTTGAACATATCTTATATCTCTGCAGTTATGAATACCATATTATGCAACTCAGACCGCAAGGGGTATTAGGTCTGCGACACGTCTTTCACACATTTTGGTTTTTTTTGTTATTTTTTGTTTTGTGAATTGTTTAATTGTGAGTGAACGTTACATGAATGCCGACAAATTGCATTTAATAAATCGAATCTCACGCAATTGCGGTTAATTGTGAAATGAACTGTTTTTTTCCAGTCGATCGCCGATCGTCAAAGAGGTTTCTCAAAGCCTAACTCGATTAAGTGATCGCCGCGATGTCTGAGTCAGCGATCCAGCCATAAGATTGGCTCGGACTCAACTATAGTTCACACATGCGCATAGCTCAAAGTTCCGCATTGGGTAATTAGAACAAATATTTAATAGATCAAATTGCAATTGCCGTCGGTCGTTAATCTCGTCGCTGTTAAGCGATGCGTTTAAACATAACACCTAATAACACCTAACTGACAGTTTGGGGTTAATTCCTTGTTCAATGAACGACCCAGTTTTGATAAGAGCTCGCAAATAACCGAAAGCCAAGATAATGTAAATGAAGTTAAAGCACACATTGAATCGTTAAGCATGGCCACAAGTAAATAATGAAGCTGTCAACAGCTCAAATTAGCTCAGCTCAAATCAGCAAGTCTTCTCTGACTTCCCTGATTATTTTATATATAATACATACATATGCTAGACTGTATATGGGATGTCAATATTGGTCGAACCTGGGAAGACAAAAGACTGACGAAAGTGAAATAAACTCGAAAATAAGATTAAATAGCACATAAAGCCAAGATACACAAAAACCAATGATATAAATGTATTTCTCTAGACAAGGAACGGTCATAGAGCTCCCAGACGTGCAGCTTGTTCAATGACTTACTATTTTAAATATAGATATTAAAACAAATAGAAATGTTTGTTTCTTTTCTTAGTTTTTTGCTTGGGCTCATTACACTAAAATTAGACTTGACCTACATTAGGCAAGAAAATGGGATTGCGCCAAGCAAGCTATGAAATCAATACGCCAGCAAACACTCACGCACACACACGAACACACCTGCAGCTGCATTTAGCCATTTACACATGCAAATTTGGGGTGCTATAGCAACACGGCAAAGACTACAACAAAACATTCAATGCCAATGCCAGAACCGGAGCCGGCTATATGTATAGAGAGAGAGAGAGAGGACGAGAGAAAATCAGAGAAAAAGAGATGTTCTCATATGCAACATATTAGATAATACTAACACAACTGTTCGCATTCTGAAACATTGCCAAAGGTCTATAAAAATAAAACGAAGCAAAGCTGACGACAGTAAAGGCAGCATTGCATCAAGTTTTACTTTTTGGCGGGCATGACAAACAGTTTTATATTTAAGGAAATGCGTTTATAAAAAGAAATAGCAATAATTCAAATACTTTGAAATACTTGGCCGATTCTATCGAAAGTCAAGCGTCGACTTCATAATGAAGTCAATTTGATCAGAAAGATCAAATTATAAATATAATATATTATTTGAAGTTATTTATTTATAAAACTTGAAACTTTGACTTTAATAGAGAAACATTAGGTTTTATTATGAATTATCAAATATGATTTAAGCCCAAAAGTCAAACAGAATATTGAGAAAAATAAATAAATAAATAAAATATATTTGAAGCTCTACTTAGACCAAAATATACATGAATTTATTTAAATATTAAAATATGCAAACATTTGAAATGTAAATATTATTATTTCATTCATGGAAATGAATAGCGATGACGTCAATGTCAATGAATTAAAACATCGCAATCGCAAGGTGATCGACCTGATATTAGCTGTGATGGATTTTGTGAAACTGCGTTTAATTTCAATAAGTTTAAAGGGTTATCAGTAACACGCTCACTTTCTATAAGGCGTGCTCAACATATGATTAGCTTAGATTAGATATGTGCTATAGATGTATATATATATATGGAAGAGGTCCGTTTATTGGCTGCTCTGCGAAGTTCTTAATGTGAGGCACAGCGCGCTGCTGACGGCTTGGACTCGGATTACGTGAAGCTTTAATCATATGGCGGAACTAATGCCACTCAACCAAGTCAATGGCTAGCGTAGTTTCAGCCCGTTAGAGGATCGCTGTCAAGCGCCGCCAGTTGTGGGGCTTCCCAGCGCCAGTCTAGCAAGTAACTGGGTCAGTGGCATGCTGAAAGCGGCAAGCGGCAAGCGGCATGCGGCATGTGGCATACGCAATTGTGCCCATTATATTGGGACGCGTCGTCTTTGGTGGCGGCTTTTGTCTTTGGCCAATGCAACTGGTCTTGTTTCCAAGCATTTTCTTCAAGCAGCGCTCAACGCGTCGTATACGCAACGACAAACCTTGACAAGCAAGTCTTAAACCAAATGAACTCTCTGAGAGACGTCACTAATAGATAAATGCACAAGTTCAACACTCAGACCGCATTAAACATCCTAGTCTCCTCTATGCGTGTGTAGCACGCAAAATTATTCGCAGCAAACGACCTTTTGCCTCTTCTGCTCAATTTTGAACTCTCATCGACTCCAGCGACTTGACATCGTCATTGCCGTCGCGGTGTTGAATAACGTTTTGTGATCCAATAAACTTTCAGCAATTTAATTCACTTGACGTCGTACATCTACACACACACACACGCACACATGCATTGTCGACACTAACATGTGCCAAGTTTTGTTGAACTCAAGCATGCAAAGAAATACGTCTTTGGTTCGTATGACCGCAGCTCTTACAACACTTGAATAACACATTCCATCAAGTATTTGGTCAATAGCATGGCAAAAACTGTGTAATCAATCGGTAATTAATATGTTCACACCCATATACGATACAATTGGACCCATGTCAAGCATGTATATATCGGAAAAAGAATATTCAATAGTCGCGCTCTGGGGCGAGCATCGATCAAATTTCTGTCACATGAGACATTATTTTAAAGATTGTTTGAATTCAAAAAATTGATTTATGCAAATCTAATTCAGATTATAAAAGTCTAAGACAATATCTTAATCAAATGCTACTGTCAGGGAGATATCAGCTTATGGCCCTTATCATCTATACTTTGTTGCACTCTTATCTTGCATAATTACAAATTCAATTTTTAGTTTTATTATATAAACTTTTAGTTTTTAAACTTATTTTAACTACTATGTCAACTTGTCCATTAGAATGTTCTTTAAAGAATCTTTGGCATATTACTTAATATTTATTATAAAATTGTTGCTTTTCGCCTGATAACGCTTAATATATACGAATATTATGCATATATAAATACAAATTATTTACTTTCTATAAATATACATAATTTATTATTTGGCGCTGTCTATCTTTCTAGGCATATACCTAGGTAGAGAGATTTGCAGTCAAATAAATAGTCAGGCTAGTAAATCTGCATTTTAGTTTAAATTAATCGCCAGTAATTAGTAAAGAAATGCTGTCAATTATGTGCCAAACAATTCTAACAATTAGAAATGTTACAGTCGGATGAAAGCAACTGCGCAATGCTCGCTCACAATTTTTTAGCTGTTAGATGAGCAAACGTTTGTTGGGCTATTAAGCTATGAATGGGGTACACAGATGCTCTGCCTCTGCTTATAGGACTACAATGTTAATGTCATACACAGGTCTATATGTTTGGCCTAGGATATTAGAAATATTACATACAAGCCAATATACCCCTTACCGATTTTCAGTTTGGCAAACGCCTAGGACAAGTGTTAAGTTCTCATCTAATCTGTGCTGGTCTTTCTGCATAATTGCTTTCAATCGTGGATTGTCACGATTTCCGAATCAATTTGCCTTTGGCACAGCTCTACAGGGATTAGGCCCAAGCGCAAATTGATTGCAGTCAACCCTTTTGTTTTATACCCCAAACCATTGACAATAAGTGAACAAGGTATACTGTTTTTGGTAAAATGTATGTAACAGCCAGAAGGGCTCAAAGTGGTATATATTCCTGATCAAAATGTGTAGAGGATTCAATGTAGCCCTTATCGTGTGTGGCTGTTCATCTGTGTATATGCTTGAACTTCTGTTTTAATGATACTTAAAGGACTGCTGCAGTTCGGGGTATCTCCTAGTCGAGCATTCCCGACGGAAGCACTGCTAGTTGTTTGTGCTGTTTGACATTTGGACTTACCCGCTTTGCTGTTCGCCTCCGCATCGCCCTGGGCGGTCATTCGTTCCGTTAGCAGCTTATGGAGTACGCCATATGTGTTGATTAGCCCAAAGATGACGCCGTTGCATAGGAAGGCGCTCACCATTACCAGCCAGGCACGAGCACCGCCGTCCGGCGGCTCCTTGCCGTGTATATCTCGACAGCAGGGCGCCTCGATATGCTGTTGAATGCCATTCACTGAGATCTTGCCATTCGATTCGGTTCGATAGACTTGGCCGTTGCTGGTCCTCAACGCGTGTCCATTGACACGACTCTCGGCACTGATAATGCGGCCATTTGGCTGACTTACGGACTCGTCGAGCGGCTCGTTCTCGGCCATTGCTGCCATAGATGTAAAAAACGTGTGGTTTCTGAAATTTCAACTGATTACAAGTCGCGTAGCTCGTCGCTTGTCGCTGTCGGTGACGTTGACGTCTCCCGCACTATCTGATATGATCCGACTATGCGGTTTATGGCCAAGCAGTGCGAGTTCTACGGATTCTCAAACAGCTGCTGAACCATAAAGCGACACGATTTAAGATTTAATTGTAATTATCATTATTTGCACGACGCGTTTTCAACTATAATTGAGACTCTGCGACTACGTGGATGCAATGGATTCGAATGCACTTGAACTTCAAGTATTCCCGCCATGGAACATACTGCGGGGTTGGCACATTCTTGACTTTAAATTAAAAGCGTGGCAAAGCAATATTTTTGGCAGCTTTATATATGTTAACTACGTTTTAAATTTCACTTTATCTCACATTCATGTATTAATAAACTCTGTTCCAATTGAAAGCTGCCAGATAGAAAATATTACTTTAAAACTTTTATCAGTCTAGCAGAAATATATTTTTATAATTTATCTAGCGCTTATTTTCTCTGCTCTGTATTCGTCTTCCTATTGTTTATCGGCCATAATATAGCAAAGTTAAGAGCAGCTTTAAGCCGTAGAATGTTTTTGACTAACGACGAGCAACTGTAGAGCTAACAACGGGACTAGCTGACTAGCTTAGGCTACGCCTAAGACTGTAAGATATCATAACTATATTTTTCAAATATATATTCATACCTTTTTTACAGAATCTCAAATGGTATCTATTCACATCAAAAATATATTCTAGTTTCAGATTATCCAAAAGCTATTGTCTTGGTTTCAAAATCTTGTTGATCTGTGTTATCAAGTCATGTGTTTAGAGTTTAAGCTAGAAACTTTCACTTGAGCCAAATTGGATATAAATTTGAGTAAGTACACTTTTCAAAGTTGAATTTGTTAAACAGTGTCGGCATTAGTTTATAACAAAATATGCTTCAGAATATATGATTCATATGTAAATAAATTCACGCTGATTGGAACTGCAACCTTTTCACGGCAACACATATCAATTAGTTATATTTATATATAACATTTCTTTATATGGCCATGGATGGAACTAATGGAAATTTGTACACTCTGTATATTAATATACATAAGCATATTAATTTGTATACATACATATATACCCGTGTCAGTAAGAATTTCTGAACTGGCAAATTATATGCAATAGTAAGCAAAACAGACAGAATACAAGAAAAGAAAACCAAAACAAAACAAAACAAGAGCAAAGTTGTGCCGAAAACAAAGTCAAAGTCGACGGCAATGTATTCTGCACTTAAAAGTTGTAAATCTATTTGATGTTTCTGTTTTTATTTTATTTGCATTATCTATGTCCACGTGTCGTACGCAGGCGTCACCCAGCGGGGGGCGGTCTCAGCTCGAATCAAAAATCGAAACGTGATGATTACGCAATGAAGCAACCTAATACAATTGCCACCAATAAACGTGTTTTAGTACAATTAGTCTTACAACGGATTTAAATGCAGTCGATTGCTGTGAAGCGAAGTGTCGCTGATCCCCTTGGGAGTGTGGATGGCGCGTACCGCCGTCTCTGGTTCGGGCTCTTGCTAGACGCAGTCGAATTGATAGGCGAGAGTAGAGCAGAGGAACACGACCGAGCGCTTGCGTTGCCGGCAACGGAATGAAAAATAATTCAATTATTTTCCACGAGCAGCTTTTTCTTCTTTGTATTTTTTTTTGTTGCAAAAATTTGTCACTTACTCACGAGGCGCCTAATCAGAGACGGCGGGCCAAACACAACACACAGTAGCGTGCGATAGCGAGCGTTCTCAGTAGTAAACAAAACGAAGCGTTGAAGACGGTTGCGTCTGGTCTTGCGGTTGCGTTGGCAACCGGCACGCCAAGGAGATGGCCGCAAAAAAAAAAGAATAAAACAGAAGTCAAACTAACGCATTCCCATTCAAATAATATGTACATATACAAAACGTATGAACTGAGTTGCATCCGTTTACATAAGTTGAAATCATTTGGTCAATTGCTATGCAGCCAACAAAGTATCAATGAATTTGTCGTGTATCAATGAATTCTTTTCCGAAATATTTTAAATTGACTTCAATTCCCAGAATTAAAAACTGAAGTCCATTGTCCAAGCACAACCCTGAGACACTTTCGTTTTTGTATCGTAAATTGGTCATGTCCGTTGCGACAGCCACACAGCAGACATCAAAGCAGCAGCAGCAGATCCAGATGCTTTGCCCGACGTGGCAACTCATCAAGATGTGTCCGATTGCGGGGAAATTATGCTGGCGCCTTTCTTTGATGAAATGCTTTTCGAGTTTTATTTCGCATAAATGTATGTACTATATAATATATATATTCGAGATAAAAGTTAAATGTAAGACTTACGTGTTAGTGGAAGATTCAGTTTAGTTATATGTATAATACTAAGAATTAAGCTTGACAGTCGCTCTTCAATTCACAGGCGCCGCCTCAATGGACATGGCTGTGGGCGCCAGCGAGCAGGGCGGCTGATCTACAATTAGCTTAAAGTGTTTATCGGGCCAATCGAATTCCAGACGCTGTGTGGGCTCCGCTTTGCCATCTAATTGTACATTTCGAAATGCCTCCATCATACGTGGCACTAGATCATTTGGTATCAGCACCTGTATCCAATACCCAAGCACACCAAAGGGTTCGCTGACGCTAACTGCAGCTCCCGTAACTGTTTCGGCGACCAGAGTCAAAGCCAGATGTTGTGCCTTGAACGTAAAGTGGCGGCCATGTCGTATGCGATCCTGAAAAGAAGAGCATGCATTTGATCATTATAAATCTCACATCAAATTCCATTCTGCATTTACCTTTATGGCCAGCAGCAAGTATTTGGCTGCATAGGGCGCTAGAGTTATTTCAATGCCATCCAGCGATATACAGTCGGGCGCCTGTGGCTGATAATCTAGCGGACATGATTTGTGCAGCGAGTTGCTGCTCATCGACATGGACTGTGGAAAGCTGGGTTCCTCGCGCTTCAGCTGTGACTCTGTCAACTGTCGATTGTTCTCTTCGCTGGCGCAGCGTTCGTTCAGGCACTTAAAGTCCACTTCCTCCTTAATGGTTTGGGTTGGCTTCAGCTCACGGAATGTGAACTCAGCATTAACGCCAGCCAGATCGGAGCCTTGTTTCTCCAGGTCGTCCTGCAGGTTCAGCAAGGTCTCGGGAAACAATTCGAACACGCTCATGGTGCGCTGCATATTGGTTACCAGCCAGTCGCCGCCTGTCTGTACATCCTTGGCCAAGAAGTTCAAGACGCCACGACCGTTCCAGCGTGAGGCCTGCTCTAGTTCCTCCTCGGTGACGCCAACTATTTGGCAAAAATCTACAGTGCCAAAGGGCGTGTCAATCGAACCTAATTGCGGATCTTGTGCCACCAGCAAGCTTTGCATTCGAGATTTGGAGCTGCCGTCCAATCCCTTGCGCCAAGGTATATTGTCGCCAAAACAAAGACCATTGCCAGTTTGAAAACAATAGCGTGCAATTGATTGCAAAAGATTTGCAGGCCAAGTGGGTGGTCTGAGTGGTTTATCAGGGCATTCCCGCTGTTGGCGCAGCTCAGCCTCTGTTTTAGCCAACCGAAATGTTAGCTCGAAGCCCATGCCCGACCGAGTAGTGTGCTCTTCTTTTATATGGACGCGCTGATCGCCATGCAAATCGCTTAGTCCGAAGCTAACGTAGTGCCAGTGCGGAGGTATTCTCTCTGTATCGCCTTCGCCCTGGCCTTTGTTGCTGTACATACTTATGTAGTCGAGGGGATCGGAGCCACCTAGCCAGTATTTAAGCAGTGTAGTCACTTGCAAAGGGTTTGGTTGATCTGGATAAACTGATACCAAGTGGTCAATCAAGGACTTTAACCCAGGCGGTGGTTTCAGCTCCGAATTCTTTTCAGGATTTGTTGAGGCAGCCATAATAGTAAAACTCTTGGAAGAAAACAAAAAACAAACTAAAAACATCGATTACACCATCGATAGTATCGATAGTCATAATTAGTACGCTGCTCAAAGAAATTATTTAGCAAGCTAAATAACAGCAATCTTATTGTAGGTGATGACAAATATTCCTTTTCATTCATGTAACATTCAACGAGTACTAAACTTCATATATGTAAAAGTGCAATTAAAAAAATATTCATTTTCTGCACAGGCCCACCTTATACTCTGGTATTTTTCGAAATAGCCAGATTTCTAATTGGTATTAAAAGACATTAAAAACGCGGTCACACCGCACACGACACCGCGATATTGTAGGAAAAATTTGCAATACTTTGTTTTATAAACGCACAAAATGGAGCCCTATGATGTCGTAGTCAATCAGCCTGTGGTCATAGATAACGTAAGTCAAATTTAATATAATATATCAATTAGAATCCAAATAGAAACAATTGCCACATAAGCTTCAAGATCTTTGCCACTGACAAGTGACATCACCAACTAATACGAACGAATAAGCCAAGCTGCCACTGCCCGTCCCTTTGTCCGTCAACTTTTTCAACAGCAATCGGAACTGTTTATGTATGCAATGACTAATTGCCAAAACCTAGACTTTTGAGCACAATTTACTGAAAGTGGCCAAAAAGTATATACAGGAAAATGAAAAGACCGCAATTAATGCTTGAACACTGTGACCGAATTGCGTGAATAATGAGCATCGATGTTAATGCTTCCAGTCAGATTCATGCGTGGACTATATTTCTCCGAATATACAACCGGAGGACGTTCTGTCACCCAAAGCCCGGGTGCACTTAATCTTTCAACATTACGATCCGGTGGATTGCCACACTTGCCATGGTATTGGCGAAACATCGGCGAACAACTCATCTTGTTAAAAGGATCGCGATAATAATCCCTGTAATCCTGGCAACTTAAGTAGAACTGATCGACCTCGCCCAGACTCCCGTAGTTGACAATCGATAGACCACTTGGTGGCACAAGTTGCAAGAGTGGCTTCCGCTGCACGCGTAGACTCTTCGACACGTGTAGCATATCCACGAAAGGAATAGTTCGGTAATTCATATTTGCCTAATGAAGCTACTTAACAAATCAACACAAAAATGAACCAAAATTAACAAACTTGAAATGTGGATGTGTAGGCTGCGCGTGTGAAGCTAAATTTGAATGAATGCCTGCCTGTTAATAATACTACATTTTTTCCTTTTCAGGGCTCCGGTGTGATCAAAGCCGGCTTTGCTGGCGAGCACATTCCAAAGTGCAGGTTTCCCAACTAGTGAGTATTTTAACACAATGCAGGGCATCGCTTAGATTATCATACCTTATTTTAGCATTGGCAGACCAAAGCATGTTCGGGTAATGGCCGGCGCCTTGGAGGGCGACATTTTTGTTGGCCCCAAGGCGGAGGAGCATCGCGGCTTGCTTAGCATACGATATCCCATGGAGCATGGTATTGTGACGGATTGGAACGATATGGAGCGCATTTGGAGCTATATATATAGTAAAGTAAGTCGGGTTAACTTTTCATGACCGACAGTTGTTTCAATAATTTATGTTTTCTTCAGGAACAATTGGCAACGTTTACGGAAGATCATCCCGTTCTACTCACTGAAGCACCATTGAACCCGCGTCGCAATCGGGAAAAGGCCGCTGAGTTCTTCTTTGAAGGCATCAATGCGCCAGCGCTCTTTGTCTCCATGCAGGCAGTACTCAGTCTGTAAGAGCATATAGTTAAACTACACTAAAAAGTAGTTTCTAAACCATTTCAATATTGTTAGCTATGCCACGGGCCGTGTGACGGGTGTGGTGTTGGATTCGGGTGACGGTGTGACGCATGCAGTTCCCATTTATGAAGGATTCGCCATGCCTCACAGTATTATGCGTGTGGATATCGCTGGGCGGGACGTGACGCGCTACCTTAAAACACTCATACGCCGAGAGGGCTTTAATTTCCGTTCGACAGCCGAGTTTGAGATTGTGCGGTCGATCAAGGAGAAGGTCTGCTACTTGGCAACCAATCCTCAAAAGGAGGAGGCTGTGGAGACTGAAAAGTTTGCATATAAATTGCCAGATGGCAAGACATTCGAAATTGGACAGGCTCGTTTCCGTGCGCCCGAAGTGCTCTTCCGACCCGATTTGCTGGGCGAAGAGTGCGAGGGTATACACGATGTGCTAATGTATTCCATTGAAAAGTCGGATATGGATCTCAGAAAAATGCTCTATCAGAACATTGTGCTGTCGGGTGGTTCAACGCTTTTCAAAGGTTTCGGCGATCGTCTACTCTCTGAACTGAGAAAACACTCAGCAAAGGATTTGAAAATCAGAGTAAATATGATTATATGTAGTAATAATACAGAATTCTATATTAATACTTGATTTTGTTTTTGTCTAGATTGCTGCACCCCAGGAACGTTTGTACTCTACGTGGATGGGCGGCTCAATTCTGGCATCGCTGGATACCTTCAAAAAGATGTGGGTATCGAAGCGAGAGTTCGAGGAGGAGGGCCAACGTGCCGTGCACAGAAAGACTTTCTAGTTTGTTTAAAATCATTTAAACGCTATGTGTAAAAGGCTTATTAAACTCTGTATCAAATATCATGTGTCAGCTAACATCAAGTATCCCTTAAAAACAAAATTTGAATTAATTTTGCATGTGTGTGTTACGCATAAATAGGCGCAAAGTATTTAAATATGCTATTTATTGAAATTTGCTTACGCAGCATATAAGAAAAAAGAAAAACAAATAAAAATAACTAAAAACTAATAAATAAAATAAAAATTGATATTAAATGCAGGCTAAATCAAATATTGTGGTAATGTTAATTATGACATAAATATATACGTTTACTCATTAGTCATACACCTCGACATATCTGAGCCGCTCTCGCTCTCTCTCTAGGCCAACGGCGCGCTTGGATGACGCTGTTTGGTCGAAAATGAATTCAGTTGATTTTCAGCTGTTTGTTCGTTTGGTTGTGTCTCAGGCAACCATCTCTATGGCAACGGCTATAAAAGTTGTTTTCGTTGCAACTTTTTGTTAAATTATATGTCGCCAGTTGTGCAAAACACAAAAAACCAAATAAGTTAAACAAAGCTTCTATCGAATTTGAAGCTCTTGACTTTGGATCATTTGTTAAGTTCGCAAACGCAACGACGTGGAACCGCATTGAAAACTTCACAATGGCTCAGGCGGAGGGACGAGCCAATGAAACGGAGGCAAGTCACAAAAAAATACGCACACAAATCAGTTAGCTAAATTAGCTTAATTAAAGTAAACTTACCAAACGAAGCTTGAAAATAAGTCCTGAGAATTGCACTTCCTTCTATTATCATTTACTTTGCAATTGCAGTTCGTGTATATTATACCTGGTTAATTATACCTGGTTTACCTTGCATATAAGTGTGTGTGTGTATGCTTTGCTGTATATATAGGTATAATAAGTCTATATCTACAATTCAGATGTGCTACGCCAATAAAATATTCATTCCTGACTGTCGTATGTCTGTTTATTGATTTTATAATTATAGAAAATTTTAAATTCTCTAAGTGAAGTCCATCGCTTCCATAAACTTCTACACATAGTAAATTTGAATCTTTTTGTTATATTACAATTTTATAATAATAATTATATATATAAATATACAGAATTGTGTATAAAAATGTAAAAAGTTTTATATAAACTGACCGAATCCGTTTGAATCTCAAACAAGGGTAGTCTGAAATGTTTCAGACCTTAGTAAGATTCCCCTCGTCGGAAGTATCCGACTTATATATACCCTGAACCTACGGCAGAGCTGCTACACACACATACACATATACTCAAGTATGTGTGTTGATAGGAGTTTTCACATGAATACATACTAAACTTGGCATCTTTAACTTGAATAGTTCTCAAGTCTTGTTTTATAAATCAACTCAAAAGATCCATGCTTATAGATATTAAAGCTTGTAGAGCGCTTGGTACAACAGCATTTGTATCTGTACACTCAAGTCTGTAGCTTTTGTGGTTGCCAAGGTCAGTTGGAGAGTCGTTCTTTTCTATATCCACTCAATTGAAATAAATATACTTCATGAGGTCTCGCTTACTTCCGCGTCTTTCATATAATGGTTTTAGGGTAAAACAAACAAATTTAAAATAATTTATTTACGCTTAGTTAGGTTGATATCTTTTCAAACTACCCTCGCTATGTGCACCTTATATTGGTTCAATATCTTAATTATTTAATCACTTTATTTGCAAACTCAACTTGAATACAGTAGTTTAGTTGATGTCTCACTTATCTCTTGCAGAGTGCTGTAAAAAATGCCTGGGAGGTATGATATTATTGAGGCATTTCAATATGGATGCAAATAACGTTTAGATGCTGTTGCTTCAGTTCTATATTTGCACTCTAAATAATTGGTTTCAATAGATAGTTTGACATTATCAGCAAGGTGCAAGTTGTATCAGAGCAATTGGAACTAGATAAGAAACGCGAAAAAGTTCTAAATAGACCAAAATCGTATCACAATTTGTGCGACTCTCGAGTGAAACAGATACAATTTCTAAAATGGCTTCAGGCGTGTGTACAGAGAATATGGGAAATATTTTATTAGAAATTATTCCAATTGAACTCTTTTCAGATGAAGGCAATGGATGCCAATCGCTATGCGACCAAGAAAACTATTGCCCAGGGCATGCTGGATATAGCCCTGCTCACAGCCAATGCATCCCAGCTGAAATATATACTCCAGGTCGGGGAGCAGCATCAGTTCTATAAGCTAATGCTCATACTGATTAGCTTGTCCATAGTTATGCAGGTAAATATACCATTTTTTGCCCGCCTGTCTTGGCTTTGGGGTTGTAACGGCTCGTTCTCCCATGTCGTAGATACTGTCTGGCATACTAAGCCTGTCTCTCAGTTTATTGCGGGACTGCCGAATGCATCAGCCAGAGTTCCATCAATCGGCCAATGTGATCAATCATGTGCGCACTGGGTTTGCGTTTTTTACCACTATGGTAAATCTTTTCATATCGGCCTTTGATTCTCGCCTGCCCCCAATACAGGGCGATCTTTTGAATGATGTCAATTAAAAAAAAATTGTATAGAATTAACCCATCCCACTCGACTTTTTGAGCGAAATATTCTGGAAAATTTCGGTGCTCTCTAAAAAGAAAACAATTTCAATTTTAATTTTAACAGCTATTGGTTGGAATTTTGTTTGTGGCCATCGGCAGCCTGAATATTAACAGGCAACAAGACCAGACGGCAGCAATTATATTGAACGATATCATATTGGTGGTCATCTTTGTAATATCAGTGGTGAATGTCATAATATCTGGTTTCGGGATCGAATACTCCTCCCAGCCACTAAGACTCATCGATCAGCATGCTAAAGTACCTTAGATATAAAAAAACGATTCAACACTTAAGATTTTAGTATTAAATGCAATTTGTAAAACATTATGATCGATATTTTATAAGATTTCTAATAAATAATAAAAGCTATATAAATATCATAATCTTCTTCTTTTATATGTAGGTGGCAGCAGGAGTTTTACTAGTTGTTCAATCTCTTGTGAGCATTGCCAAATCAAAGAATCGTTCAATACTTTATACAGTCAATCACTTTGTGGATGCCATCATATTTCTATCTGTGTTCTGTGATATTATGAAAATGAATTTTGGCTTGGATCCCGCAATACCATACAAAGATGATCAAGTTGAAATTTTTAAAAACTAATTTATTTATTTTTAAGCATTTTATAAGAACTCAAATAAAACTATTGATCCTCATTAGTTATTATATTTCAAATTCTTTTAATGCCGCATTGTAACATGACTTTATACTTGATTAATGTGCACACACTGTTTTGCCATCACTTGTACATTTATCGATAGTCAATGAATGCAATGGCAATTGGCGGTATTATATTTTTGGAATTTCTTACTTAACTTATAAAAAAAAATATTTATTAAAATATTTTGATGTAAATATTAATTAGAGGCTAAAGAAAATCTTTTTCTTATGTTAAGTACATCTATAATAACTTCCTATATTTTTTGACCGTACAGAACACTCCTTCCCTCTCACTCTCTCTCATAAATGCAGAACTAAGACGTCACAGTTTTTCTATGATTGAAAATATTTCAGTTGGATTTGGTGCTCATACCGATTAGCTTGTCCATAGTTATGCATTCCATTTATTGCCCGCCTCTCTGTGCTTTGGGGTTATAACGGCTCATTCTCCAATGTCGTAGATACTGTCTGGCATACTAAGTCTAATTTTCAGTTTGTTCCGGAATTGTCGAATGCATCTGCCAGAGTTCCATCAATCAGTCAATGGAATCAATCATTTGCGCGCTGGGCTGCTTTCTAACCACAATAATAAATATTTTCATATCGCCATTCGATAATCGCCTGCTTTCGGGACAGGGCAATCGGTTAAGCGATACTAACTAAAATTGTATATTTAGAATTTACTCATTCGTAAGTATCTTGCTAAAACTAATGTCATGTTTTATTTTAACAGCTTTTGGTTGGAATTTTGTTTGTGACCATCGGCAGTCTAAATATTAATAGGAAACAAGACCAGACGGCAGCAATAATATTGAATGATATCATTCTGGATATTTTATCCGGTTTCGGCATGGAATATTCTATTGAAGATTCGATAATACCTTAACATAATTGCTCATGAAATAAATAATTTCTTAAACTAAAGCTTAACATTGCATTTTTAAGATGTAAAATAATTTACAATCTCAATTGGCAGTTATATTGTATTCAAGCTTTAAATAATTTAAAATGCCCGCATTATGTAGCAAATTTAGTACATTATTTTCGTGTGTACACACTGTTTTGTTGTCAGCTGTTAATGTATCGATTGCCGATATATTTTTAATCGCAATATTTTGCTTTCATGCAGCGTCTGTGTGTTTTCCTTTTTGGCGGCATTAACTAAATATTTAAGGATTTCGGAGAGGCTAACAGTAGAAATAAAACTTAGTACGAGAATAGTTCTTAACATCAACAATGTCCGACGATGATTGTGATATATTCAATATGCCAGTTAAACGGCTAAACGGTAAGTGGCTACATTCATACATACGAGATATATAATTTTTAAACTTCACAGTTGTGCCGCAAAAACATTGTACGGAGGACTTGGATTCCAAACAAATTGATTATGATTTTATAAAGAAACCTACTACAAAATCTATTAAGCAAACGGCTCAAATAAAACCGAAGTCAAAGGCAAAATCCGGAAATCGAAAAAAGCAAGAAAAAGATGAGGAAAAACTTATTAATAATAATACACAGGAGGTGACAAGCCCAACTCTTGGAGAGGCGCAGGCGCCCATCTCACGTGCTGATCTGTCTCCTGTCTCACAGTTGATTTATGAGATGGAGCAGAAACAAGAACGAATCAAAACCAAAGAAATGGAAGCGTTACCCGTTGCGAGGCGCACGCGTTCCTCAATAGGCAAACGACAGCCCACACCAGAGAAGATAAACGAACTTGAAGTTCCAGCTCCAGCTGTCATAGCTGTTGTTCCAGCTCGTGCTAATAAACGTAGTGGACGTGGGCGAAAAGCCACAGCGCAGACTGCAGAAACGAGTAGCTCAACGGCACCGAGAAATATGGTTGAGCCAACTAAACGAAATCGAAGACAAGCGGCTGAAATTGCGGCTTATTCCCGGGTCGTGGACTCTATTGATCTCGTGTCAGCTGTTGCTCCGCGCGTAGAAGGATTTGTAAGTAAGCATTGAGCTGTATTTTATGCTTATCTGTAGATGTATATCGTTTAAAACAATAGATAAATCTGGATTCAGATGAGGAAAATGAAACGAGTCCCGCAGAGCCCGAAAAAGCAACGCTAAGTTACGATGATGATAATCCCATCATAGAGATTAATTTGAATTGGTATGCAGTTATAGTCAAATTGTATCTTATGTAGTGTTTAATATTATTCCCCTTTTAGGCTCGGGGAAATGCAAGTATACAAGCTAAGGCAACACCAAAAGTTTTCGCACATGTTCAAGGAGGTTTCGAAACGCAATGGGGTACCTGTAGACGATGTTGTTATAAATATGGATGATCTCTTTCTAAACGCAGTAGACTCGCCGCAAAGCGTAGGTCTAAAGGGTTTTCACATATTGAGTAAGTTAAATATTTCATTTAAACATACATTTTTTTATAATATATCCTTATTTCTCGCAGGTGGTCGCGCTCTGAAGTCGCATAAAAATCAACACAAAGAAGATGTTAATCTGATGGCAAAGCCAAGGAAATTCCAATTGAAAATTCAAAATGACAAATGGAAACAACCATTAATAATACCTATGAAAAAAACAGAAACGTTTAAGATGCTATACATCAAATGTGCGGAAGAAATGGAATGTGATGTTAAAGACTTCAAGTTGTTGTAAGATAATTATTTAAAATGCTTCATGCATTTACTCTAAATATATTCTATGCCTTGTAGCTTTGATGGCGACTTACTGGAACCTGATGATACGCCCAAAAATCAAGATATGGAAGGCAACGAAATAATTGATTATCGTTCCAAGTGAAGCAAACTCTTATTGTATATTGCAATTTTAGTATTGTTAAAGTTCAATTATCGAATTACTCTTTAATGTAGGTTATTTAATATTTATTTTTAAGTACAGTGTGTTAGAATAATAACAAATCTATGGGTCATGTTTTTAGCCTAATGAAACCTCAAACGACTTCTCATTTGGTAGCCAACAAATGTTTAACTCCAACTTTTGGTTACTTTTAAAAGTAAGTCAAGCTGCTGCTGCTAGGATAAGAGCTCTTAAAGTAGTGTACAGCATTCAACACCCTATGATTTCTTTGCACACCCTTAATATTTTGTTTATCTAGCATAGAGCGTTATATCCAAACACCAACACACACACACACGTAGAAGACAGACTCCGGCCGGAACAAAACAAAATTATTGTTGATATGCTCCTTAGCAGATGATGTTTATTGCGTGGGGTGGTCTGTGGTGGTGGTTGGCCCACACTGCCGGCTATTGCTCTCAATGTTTTCTGCATCTTTCTCTCGCTCTCACGCTCGCTCTCATGTTGGCTCCCACCCTGTGCAGTTTCCCATGGAATTTCAGAGCAGAAATTGTGACACAGGATAATATGAAAGTTCTGCTGGGGCAGCTTTTGCGAGCGTAAAAAATCAAAAGCTCTCTTCGATTTTGGTCAGCTGCCCGTTGTTAAGCGACTCGACTCGAACAGAACGAGTTTATCCTTCGTGCTAAATAGTCGCATTTGGTTCGCGTTTCTGCATTAAATAATCAAATACAATAAAAAACAGTTGTCGAAAACTTTTATTTACCATAAGAAGGCAAGCCAAATAGAGTCTTTCCTGTGTTATTTGCCGGTGTTTTTTGTGTTGCCCTGTGCTCGGTTTATTAAAAAATATCTCCAAAACATATACACATACATATACCACAGCTTCCTTAGCATATCCACATTTATATACACATATATACTATTTCCTCGACTTGGCGCCCAAAATACGATTCAATGCAAACAAAGGATTCTGCTGCGTATTTAAATTGAATAAGGTAAGAAACACATTTGGAAACACATGTTATACTTGTTTAGATAGATGTATATGTATGTACATGTGGATGTTCAGAGTTGGATTGTTTGTCAGCTGCCCGAAGGCAATGACAAATGTGTTTATCATGTTGGCTTTGCAATGCGAGCACGTTAATTGACATGCCCCAGACACAGAAAGCCAACTTCTAACCACAGGTCCTGCATACAAACATGGATAAATGCGCGAGTGAGTGTGGCGGTATGTGGGTGTGTGAGTGTGCTTTAATAATTGATCACAATTGCTGGCATTAATATTTAAGCATGTTAGGCTTCTGCATGCCCATAAACATGCATATCACACAGAATTTTAACCAACAATTGAGTACCTTTGGCTGGGGCTAAAAATAAAACGTGACACCTGCGAAAAAATGTTGCCCATGCTCCATGCGTGGCTAAAGCCAACGCAGAACTCAGCTCGAGGTCAACTCGCTGACCAACCACCCAGCCAATCGTCCGCTTCCCCTCGACGAGCATAGCTAATGGCATTGAGAGCACACGCAAAACGAGTTAAGGGACTCAATCCCGAATAGCACTCAGAGGACTACACTGATTGCCACCCATCGAATAGTCTCGATTGGCCTTCGATTTTCAACAACAACAAGAACAGCAAATAAAAATGCATTTCCTCTCCAAATGGCCTTCAAATGTGTGTATGTGTTTGTGTGTGTGTGTATGGTTTGCACCTTTAAAGCTTTTCCAGCACAAAGCTTTAATAACACATCTGATGAGGCTAGCTGGTTGCCAGGCGAGTAACGCTTAATACATATTTAAGTACATATTCATATAATGATTACATACATTACCAAATGATGAAGCACACACACATACATACACATATTTTCATATAGACTTTGCTCTCTTTTAACTCTTTCCTGTGAAGTCTCGCGAGAGCAATTTAAGGCTTATTCTCCTGGGTCGCATTCGTAAACGTTTTACGGGCCGCCGAGCTTTGCATTTAACACAAAATAAATGTGTTCACAATTTATAGGATATATATCAATTTACTTACTTAATATTACAGGGTATCTGCCAGTCCGTATGTGCTTGATTTTTCGCCTTTCTATTTGCCTCGCTAAAGTAAACTAAAGTTTTTCATATGTTTTTCCCAGCGCACTAGCTTATTAGCTATGCCAGCTGAATTACCTTGATGCAGGGTATCTGAAATGCCATCAGCTCAAGTTTTTGTGTTTCAGTTTTCAGTTTTTTATCCTGTCGCGGCGGACCGGAAGTAAAATAACAAATGACACTTCGGGGCACAATTTGCGCACGTGTCGCATAGACCAAACACACACACACACACACACACACACACACACACACACACACACACACATAGCGCTGGCTATTTTCAGTTGCATTGTCTTTTGAGCCTAGGCCAACCTTCAAAGCCACAAACTTTTTTGTATGCAACGAACGCAACAAGCAAAAATAATAATAAAAAAAAACAACAAAATGAGAACAAGAAAAAAGTGAAAAAGCAAAAAAGCCAAACAAAACAAGCTGACGCCATTTTGCCATTAATTCTGGCCACTTTATGACCAGGCCAAAAACAAACTAAACACTAACCGTCTACACCTATCAGTTGGACATAAAAAAGGGTATTTCGATTCTATAAAACGTACAGTGAAACATGGCATAAAACTAGATGTGAGTAATTAAAATTGGATTCGAGGTTGTCAAGCAAACGAAATGTTTTAAGATTTTAGTAGAAAGCAAAGATTTTTACAGCACTTCCAGCCGGAATTCTTGAAAACACAGATGAGCTCGATTCGATTCGAAATTTGAAAAGTAGAAGCAACTAAAGCTCGATTTTTATAGCAGGCTCATCACAGTTGCTGAGCGTAAACTTAAGCCAAGATATATATATATATATATATATATATATATATATATTGAAGCCAGCCCAGAAGCGAATTTGCAAAAGAATTTAATTATTTTGTTATTTAAAAGTTTTTATTTTTATTATATTTTTTATTTTATTTGTTTTTTATTTTTATTTTATTTCTTTATTTTCATTTTCGCAGCTCTTGAGCGAGAGGCAAGTGTATTTGAGCTTCGTGTTATGTTCTCTCTGTTAGCTTCCGTTGTGTTGTTTGCAGAATTCATTTGGACTGTGTGGCCTTTTGTGTTTTTGGCTTTTTGTGTGTGCTTTGGCTAGCAGGCATATTGCAGGCCTGGCCGTGCTGTGCCGTGCCGTGCCTTCTGCCAAGTGAGTCTACGGCGGTGTGTTTTAACAAACAGCCCAAAACAATTGGCTCGCATCGACTTTTGTGCCAAGTGCTGCCGTCGAAGTGGAGTGCTTTACGCTCGACTACATTTCCAACTTGGACTCTGCGGCCCGTGCTCCATTTAGCATCGTCGTGCATTGAACTGTGCGGCTCTTCGATACTTTTTATGCCATTTGCATTACGTATGCGCCCCGTTGTGCGCTTTGAGAGTTCAGCTTGCAATTATTGCGCCCGGCTCCCCATTTGCGGCCCCAAGGCTATCGAATGCACCGCCCACACAGTCATTGTTGCCAACACAGGCTGCTCCTTTTTTTTGCCTCCCTTCTTGTTGTTGCTTGCACCTTTTTATGTTGCCACACAAAGGAGTGTGGAGTGTGCCACAGCTAAGACAAGCAATAAGTGCCGGACTGCAGCCTGAAGGCAGTAGCGACGCCTAAGAGCAGAGCAGAGCAGCGCAGGGCAGGGCAGGGCAGTGAGTGCTCTTATTAAAGTTCGTTTTGTTTGGACCCCAAACAATGTCGTCACCGGTCCAAAAGTGCCGCCAGACTCTTTGTGGCAATCTAAAAAGTTGCAGCAGTCGGCACCATTTTATGAATGCATAAAATATTTTACAACTTGATGCAACACCAGCAACACACAGCTTCTGTGGCAGCAAAAACTAAACGTGACTTATAACTTTTTGCGCAATTTATTCAAAAGTTCTTCAGGCTTTGTTGCAAGCTCGAACTGAAGAAGCAATGTAGATTGAAATATATATCTATTTATTGACAAAGACGAGCTTGGACCTTAAAGTTTTTCTTTGCATTCACTGAGCAGCCTGAGTGACAACAAAGCACGAAAAGGCAACTGGAAATAAGTTACTTTAGTTTTAACCTAAATACCGGAATGCTTTATGCTTAAAGGGGATTGATCTATAAGAGACTCTCGACTAGCTTACACAGACATGCAGACAGACAGACAGGCAGGCGGACAGACAGACAGACAGACGAACAGACAGGCTTATGGACTGACACAGTGACAGACAGACAGACTCATATATAGACTGACAGACAGATAGACATACAGACAGACAGACATACAGACAGACATACAGACAGACATATAGACAGACAGAGAAACAGACAGACAGACAGACAGACAGACAGACAGACAGACACCCAGACAGACATATGGACAGACATACAGACAGACATACATACAGACATATAGACAGACAGACAGACAGACAGGCAGGCGGACAGACAGACAGACAGACGAACAGACAGGCTTATGGACTGACATACATACAGACATATAGACAGACAGACAGACAGACAGGCAGGCGGACAGACAGACAGACAGACGAACAGACAGGCTTATGGACTGACACAGTGACAGACAGATATATAGACAGACAGACAGACAGACATACAGACAGACAGACATACAGACAGACAGACAGACATATGGACAGACATATGGACAGACATACAGACAGATATACAGACATATAAACAAATAGACATGCAGACAGACAGACATACAGACGAACACAGACTGATATATAGACTGACAGACAGACACATAGACAGACAACTAGAGAGACATACGGACAGACATATAGACAGACATACAGACATATAGACAGATAGACATGAAGACAGACATACAGACAGATATACAGACAGACGAACAGACAACTAGAGAGACATACAGATAGACATATAGACAGACAGACATACAGTATCTTGATCCTGATCAATTATGACCTCAGCCATATCCGTTTTTGCCTGGTATATACAAGATATTTACACAAATACAATTGTTCAATACACCAAATTCAATGTTTGTTCGATACTCAAGACATATTCAATTGCCTAATATATATTTTCCATTTAATAAATTTTGTCTTCAATTCCTTAGCAAACTCTAACCATTTATCATCTGTAATAATATCTTCTTTGTCTGCTCTGTCTTCGCCTCCCTTTTCTAGCTTCTACGACTAAGAACTAAACATATTAGTGTCTCTCATCATCTGTAACTGGACCAATTTTATACACAAAAAGACGAAAACAATCTCGAACTCTTCTCACCGACTATATAAACTTATACAAAAGTACTTTAGAAGGTCATTCTATTGACTACACATATCGCAGAGGGACGCACCCCGATTTGAGATTTGAGCTGTTGCCGCACCCACCTGACCAGAGAGATCCATTCAAGACGGCGCCGCTTAAACCACAGGCCTACAAATTTGGACAGATGTTATGTTGTGGCTTCTGCTGTGGCAACATGTCGAAACGGGACTACAAAGTGGCCACCACAGATGGCATCGAGCTGGAGCCGTTGGGCGGCGAAAAGACCGATAAGGAGAAGGACAAGGAGAAGCAAACGAATGGCGTTACCTTTGGTAAGAGACCCCCCCTCCCCCTCTATACCCCTTGTTTGCATTGCAGTTACACCATGAGCAGGCATCTCAACATGATCAAAGTAGGCCCCGCAGCAAAGTGCATAATTGCACTTATGCATAATTTGAGCACAGTCGGCTGCCAATTGCGAGCAGGTGCCACGCCCAATGCCCCTACCTGCCTGCTGTCTCTGCAGGCCGCCATCCATCAGGTTGTTTTCTTAATTACGCCAAATGCAAAACAAAGGCATTAAAAAAAATATTGTGCGCAAGACAAAATGTCTGCCCTGCCCTGCCCTGACCTGCCCGTTAGCTGCCTTGTCTGAGCCATGGCGTTAATTTTGTATCCTGCAGGAAGCCGTTTTTCATATGCTCATACGCCCTGTTGGCCAAGCCAAGCCCAGCCGCAAGTAAATATAATGAATGCCAGCTGCCTTTCCCTGTTAACTCAGCAATTTTCTCTGCGGTTCTTAGTGCAGCATTTCGAATATGCAACTCAGGATATTAAAAGCAAATTTATTAAATTTATATTTATTCTAAATCAATATAAGTTGAACAGAAATCAAACTAGAAAATTTATATTTTATTTTGCGTCTGCTTTAATATTCATCTTCAGTCTAACCTCAGCTATAATTGTCTTGGAAGCCATAATTAAAGAGCTCAGTTTTCTATGAAGAATTTTGAAGTTATTTTAATAATTACAAAGCTTGACAATGCAGGGTATTTAAACGTCGTGCTTTGCTGCTGTCTTGCTTTTTACATTTTTATTATAGACCACAATTGTCTCATATTTCATTTCTGTATTTTCGTTTTGCTTGCGGCGACTTGGCGGCATTTTTGCAGCATGCTGCATGATGCTCTCAAAGATGCCACCGCATCAGCCAGCCAAGACACCCAACTGCCACCCAACAGGGCATTCAGACGGACATCTGCAGCCGGGCACGTCGCCTGCAGTTCAGCTCAGATTTCCGACATTTTGAATTCTCAGTTTTGTTTCATTTTCTTTTGTCCATTTGAAATACGAACTTGTGTTTATTTATGTAGCTGCCTAACTCTCTCTGTCTGTGTGTATGGGTGTGTGTGTGTGGGTGTGAATGATGATATTAGAAAATGTACCCTGAGGAATATTAAATCCGGATTATGTAGTGCATAAGCCTTAAACTGAAATGAAATGCGATAATTCTGGTTGGTATTTCTTAATCTATGTTCTGGCTTTTAGAAATGAGCTTAGTGTTTACTTTAAGTGCTGCTAATTAGCTTGGGAAACGCTCTGAAAGCTCCAGGTGAGGTCAGCCTTAAATGGCTTTCAGTTAGTGTTGAAAATGTGTCGAGGTATGAGAGTGTGTAAAGAAATAGAAAAAAAAACACTTCTAAAAAATTTAAGATTATAAAAATTA